AAAAGAAGAAGAAGAAGAAATGCATTGACCCATGTCACTTTAGTTTTGTGTATTTCACTGTAACATAGATTATGTTTCAATAAAATGTATTTCTAAGGGGGGACATCTTGGTCATTTGAAGTTAAATTTTTATACATTGCTGATTTGGTTGTTGATATTTATTTAGGGGTTTTGCCTCTATGATTATAAGTAATATTGGCTTACGAGTTTTCTTTCTAATGTTGCTTTTATCTAGTTTTGGCATCAAGTTAATAAAAGCTTCTTAAAGTGAATTGGAGAATATTCTCCATTCTTATCTCTGTGGAATAAATTATATGAGATGGGGATTATCTTTTCCTTAATGGTTTGGGAAACTTGCCAAAACATTCGTGGTCATGATGCTTTTCATTTTCGTCTTAGTGAATGTACTTTAAACTACAGATTCTATTTCTTTAATTGTTATATGTCTATTGAGATATATTATTCTTGAGTCAGTTTTTTTTTAGCAACATATACTTTAGGGTAATCAACTATTTTCTTCTAAGTTTCAAATTTATTGGCAGGCAATTGGTGATAGAATTCCATTATGATCTTCAAGGTTGTTAGTTCCCGCCTCACTTCAATATTATGAAACTTTACTTTCTTGATTTCTTCCAGACTTTCCGTCCTCTTTATCCTTTCATTTATTCTGCAAGTTAAAATATTTGAAAATGTTTTTTTTTTCCCCCTGCTCTTATTTGTCTTTGAAAATGCATTACCATCATATCTTCTACCAAACAGGTTTTTAGGAGCAAGCGTGAAAACCTAACTACCATTTGAAGCATTGTTTCTTCAGGTAAATTAGCTTTGAATTTTAGACAAGTGATTTGTTAATGAACTTTAGAAAGTATTCTGAGATTGGGAAAACTGTATTTCTAATGTATTTCTTGGAACCTTCAGTTTCCAGTAAACTTTTCCAAAGTTTCTATTCTCAGTATAGTGCAAGCTGTATTTCCCAATCTTGTCTCCACAGACACCTCATCTCTGCTTTGTTACATATGTGGGAATGATGGTTCATTGGCGTTTCTTTTTAAGGTATCCTCATCTGAGCCCCAAGTACAAGGAGTCGTTTGATGTGGGCTGTAACCTCTTTGCCAAGTTTTCTGCATACATTAAGAACACACAAAAAGAAGCAAATAAGAGTAAGACATCTTCCTTTAAGTCTCTATTTTTCTCATGTGTTCATTCTCACATTCTCACTCAGTTAAAATAGGCTTTCCTGAAGATATAGCATATGTTGGGGAACAGCCTACTCTCTTCTTCTCAGTTCTCTCCTGTGAAATTTCCCTGCATGAAGTTTTATTATATTTAGAACCCAAGATTCAATACGGAAATTACCAACTCGGTTCAATTCGTGTATTGGCATGTTACCTTTAAGGTTCCTTAACTCTAGCATCTGCCATCTCCCAGCAACATCCTTAAATACTATCCTCTAAAGTGAGTCATAGGAGCTCTGGTAGCATAGTGCCTAAGGCATTTGACTGCTGGCCAGAAGGCTGGCGGTTCAAACCCACCAGCCACTCCTCGGAAGGAAGGTTGGGCAATCTACTTCCGTAGTGATACTGCCTCGGAAACCCAAGGAGGGGTCGCTATGAGTCAGGTCTGACTCGATGGCACATAACAACAACAACAACAAAGTGAGTCATGCAAGTTATCAGTCTCCCACTTGCTGCCTTTTGTGTTACGTACTAACATATATCACTTTTCAGCCTTTCTTTGACTCTCTCCTCCCAGTACACACACCTCCAAGAAAAGTTCAAAAATGTTTTCCTTCTCAAGCTGATTAAACAGCTGATGCTGTCTCATCAGCGGGCAGTTGAGCATCTACACCATTAGCTCTTTAGATGTTGAAAAGCCAGTGACGGCAACATGCAGAGCTAGAGACGTGTACAAGTGTAAAAAGCATAGTGAGAATGTATTTACTCATGAAAACAAAAGATTTATACATGACCCATGACTTCATTATCTCAGATTTTGAAAAATCTCTGCTCCGAGAATTTAAGCGTCTGGATGACTACTTAAACACCCCACTCCTGGAGGAAATCGATGCAGACAGTGCCGAGGAACTCACGGTTTCCAGAAGATTGTTCTTGGATGGAGATCAGCTGACACTAGCGGACTGCAACTTGTTACCCAAACTGAACATCATTAAAGTAAGTTTGGAGAAGGCAGGCTGAATGGTTTGCGAGGGGTTTGTGAGTCGCCAGCACAAAGCACAGTGACATTCCAGTGTGAGGTTGCTTTGTGGTAGCTTTGTCATCAGCATCATCAGGAGTAAAAATATTTTGCTCCTCAGAGGGAAGATCCACGATGGCCTCCTCTGGGAAGCATAAAAACTTCTTGTTTCTTTCTCCCAAAATCTGAAGATGTTCTCCACTGCCTCAGCTATAAAACAAGGATAATAATACTATTTATTTCACAGAAGTGTTGAGAAAATTAAATAAAGTATGCAAAATGCTTAGAACTATACCTAGATCACAAGTGATAACAATGTCGACTGTTAATATTATGATGGTGATTCGATCATTAGTTTAACAAATATGTAGTGAATAGTACTTTATCCCAGGTCCTATGCCAGACGCTAAGAATACCTAAAGAAGTTAGACATTATCAGGAGCTTAAAGAAGCACTTAGTCGACTGGAGAAGACACGTGCTCCTTTTCTATGCTCCCTTCCTCTAAGTATGTTCATAAGTAAATAAAGTATCAATATAAACATAAAGTGGCAAGCATATAGCTTTGTCTACATTGGTAGACAAAACATTAAAGTAGTAAATCCAAGATTCGTTAGGGAAATGTAGTTTATTTTATTGTCCTTTTTCAGTAGGTAAGATGTCCTCAAGGATCTCGACTTTGGAGATGTGTTTCTACATATTAGGCATATTACTGGTTCCTTTTACTACAATTGAATTTTCTTCTTTTTCCAAAACTCAAGGTTGCTGGCAAAAAATATCGTGACTTTGCCATTCCAGCAGAATTCTCCGGAGTCTGGCGCTATCTCCACAATGCCTATGCCCGTGAAGAATTTACCCACACGTGTCCTGAAGCCAAAGAAATTGAATATAGCTATGCAAGTGTGGCCAAGCAGAAGAGTTAGGCCAGCTCTTCCAGTAGGAAACGTGACAAAACCTTTGTTATCAGATTCCATTGTTGTCATATTGGAAAGGCTTTTGGAAACAAGAATATGGGAAATACTGTTTCCTCTATCCAAATCTTGTGGAAAAGAACTCCGTATTTTCTGTATCTAGTTAGCCACAAACAATCTACCCACTGTGTATTTTACAGTTATTTTATCATTCTATTTTCTTTATGCCCAGGGCATAACCACTAACTATAATCTTGAATGGCATCGAAAACACCAAGATATTTTGCTCTTTGCTTGAATTCTTAGAATGCATTGTATGTAAGACAAATAGATGTCTGCAGTTACAAATTATATACTTTTTTTCTTTTTACAAATAATGTACTCATACATATAACACACAGAAATGATTAAATTAAGTAAAACAGTTCTGTCATAGCATGCTCATGCATGTACCACGCACGTCTCATGACATTTCCTGAAGTGAATTTTAGCTTCACCCATCTCCCTATATTACAGGTAAATCTTATTGTTCTGTTCATTTTCTTTTGTTCTGTTCATTTTCTTTAATTTCTTGTTTTTGCATATAAAAATAGTCCAAAATGCTGTTCTTCATGTGTTCATACTCTTTGGTTTCAACATGGCGTCTTACTGCTTCATTCACATAAGAATGATGACAACATTTTATCAGGAAATGACAGAGGTTACATTTTGCAAAACAGTTATTTTTTGGCTGAAATTTCAAGTAATATAAAATTGATCCTGTCATAGTTCTCTAGTGCCACTACAATAGAAGTACCACAAGTTGCTGGCTTTAGCAAACAGAAATGTATTTTCTCACAGTTTGGGAGGCTGGAAGTTGGAATTCCGGGATCCAGATCAGGGGAAGGTTTTGTCTCTGTGTCAGCTGCAGGTGAACTTCCTTGTCTCTTCAGCTTCTGTTTCCTGGTTGCTTGGAGATCTCCACGCGGCTTGCTTAATATTTTGTATACAATTTACAACACGTTACAAAGCAGAGGATAATTACATCAGATCACAAAACAGAGAACAAGGACACAATACTGGGAATCATGGCCTAGCCAAGTGGCACATATTTGTTTGGGAAACAATTCAATCCATGACAATACCTTCTGTTCTGGTTCCCTAGTGCTGTTCTGACAGGAATATACCACAAATAGGATGGCCATAACAAACGAGTTTATTCTTACAACTTGGAGGCTTAAAGTCCAAGTTCAAAGTGCCAGGCTCTAGGGGCTAGCTGAAAGAGTCCAGCTCTGCCTCCCGCTCCCGGCCCACTGGAGCTAGAGGCATTTCTTCACTCAGACAGCTGTTGGCTGCTGAGGCTGAGAAGCCCAAGGTCGACAAGTAAAAAGGCACAGTCCCGATGTTACCAAACCACACGGCAGGCCATTAATTTTAGTCCATTGTAAGTCCCAAGGTCAGCAGAGCATAGCAGGCTGCTGAACAAGGACATGGCTACATGCAGGGTCCAAGCGTGCCATAGGCTAGAGGCCATTCCCCAAGGCTTCTGCTTATATACAAGAAGCAGACCCCATTCCCTATGGCAGCTACTCAGCTGCTCACAGTAGATTCCACCATGGAGTTGATTCCCAGTCTCCTCATGGGGAATACTACATCCAGCTGCCCAGCCCCTCAACCAGGCCTAGCCAAGTTGACACACAAACTTAACTACCACACCTACCTTAAGTGAAGTTTCCATGTCTTCAGGAATAGAAACGGAGGACAGCAATGTGTTTAAAAAGTTGGCACAGTGTATACAAAAATAATGTGCAGGGGGTTGCATGGTTGGCAAAAACTCATAACGCTCATGTTATTTGTGTAAAGATATGGTAGGCAGAGCCACAATCTCAAACTGCTGCTTGAATACATTTCCATTCAAATTATTAAAACAATTTTACATTTTTATTACTTTAATACATAACTCACTGCAATCAAGTTGATTTTAACTCATAGACACTTCCATTGGGTTTCCAAGGCTGTAAATCTTTACAGAAGCAGATTAGCCCATCTTTCTTCCATGGAGCAGCTGGTGAGTTCAAACTCCTGACCTTTTGATTAGCAGCCAGGTGCCTTAACCACTACACCACCACAGCTATACTTATACGAGCTTATTTCTGATACGAATAATGACATCAGAGAGTGAGTGAATGACAGAGGCAAATCTTAAAAGAATAATTAAGAAAATCCGATCTGGGAAGGGCTCGACACCGACTGGTCTTAGAACAGCTTTGAACACCTCCTCATAGTTCATAGTTGCATTAGCACATGTTCTCAAATTCATGTTGAAGTCATTTCAGATTATTCAAATCTATCCTTTTGCTAGCCATAGCTCTTTATTTTCTGATGCTAGTGGTTGAAACTATATTTTAAAAATAAAAATAAATTCCTTATAGCTAACAGAAAATACATGTAAGTATCCCACTTTCTTGCTGTGTATCCGTCTAGCATTACCATGTTTCCCTTTTTCCATTATTATTATCTTTATTTCAGCCTAACAAGGGTCCTCAACTCCTCTGTGAAAAAGAACACAATTTTAAAAATAATTTCCAGGGTTTGTGAAAATAAGAAAGAAAGGTATAGTGAACGCTTCAGGGGCACTGACTGCAAAGACCTTGAGGGAAGTCGGTGCAGAACAGCCCTGCTTTTGACCCATTTCAGAGAGAGGCCAATTCAGGAGCCACCACCACACTCAAATCTACTGGAACAACGGAAAATATAAGATTATTATAGGATTTGAGAAAATGGTACCGTTTAGGTAAAATTTAAATAAAGCAATGTTTGAATAGGTTCAAAGAAAAGCAAAGCAATGAGTCAAGATAAATGGCAAATAATGAATTAGCGAGTGAATGAATGTTATTCTAAGCCACTAATTTGGGGCTTGGTTTGTTATTTCTTATAATAATACTTCTTGGGATTCTCAGGAAGAGAGATCATAGGGAATTTTAAATGAATCAAACAAGGGGGCAGAGACAGGATGGTGTCCTGCTAACATGTTCCACCAAAACCCTCTAGAACAGAGATCTGGGAAACTGAAGCAGATACAAATAATGATCTTGGAATTTTAAGCATCAAATGATAAGATAAAGAATGAGATCGAGCACTGATTGGAATGGAGTGAGATCAGTGCCTGGGGAGAGGGAGGAGACTGGGACTATCAGAAACAGGGACATCTTGAAAAGAGACACAGATGCTGATGACGAGAGGAGAAAAACTTCATGAAATCCACACAGAGACAGTGATGTAGGAGGGACAGATCAGGAGGAATTTGAGAGGTAATATCCTCAGCCAGAGACTCAGTGAATAGAGAAGCCCTGTTCTCACTAACCCTAGCCCTGACACCTTCACCTCTAGCAGACTGAGGCAGCGGCTGAAACTCAGCCACCGGTGCCTAAGGAATTTTTTCACACTGAAACAAGAAGCACAACTCTGCAGCCTCCTCTCTTGGGGGGAACCACTCGTGCCAGGTATCTATCTCCCACGTCTCTGAACTGAAAGGCCTGTCTATGGGCGGTTAGAGAAGAGCACATGAGGGCGGTATTTCACTAGACTCAGGCAGGAGCTGCATGTGTACAGAAGGGAGCCAGAGCCACATCCGTGAATCCCGACTACTGAGCCATACCGTCCCTTCCAAAAAGTACAGCTTCCCCATAAATAGATGCACAACCTCTCCCCACCACCACCAAGCCGGAGGCCAATGCCATCCTGTAGCCACCCTTGGCAACCCGCTCGAAACAGATCCAGCGGCTGTGGCTATCCCTACCTCTGCATACAGCACTGGTTGATCTTTCTCACGCAGGGCACGATAGACAAACACCTGCAGCTGTCTCTATTGGAGGAGTCACTTGTACCAGGTTCCTCTCCCCTCCACAGGCACACACCTGCAGAGTATGGTTTCTGCTAAACGCGCCTGCTCCCAGGACTGCTGGCTGAATATTTTACAAAAGTCTTTCCTCCTCAGTTTACCTTATTTCTGCCCTATTTTTCTCTGCCCATCTTTCCCTATTTTTCTTCCTTTTTACCTGTTTATTTCTCCCTCCTCCTCTTCACCTTCTTAAATTTTTGTCAATCTTACCATCTTGCTCCAACACTAGTAGCAAAATTCAACAAGACAGAAAATAACAAATGCTGCCGAGGTTGTGGAGAGATTGGGACTCTCATACACTGCTGGTGGGACTGT